ATACAACATCAGAACAATAATCAGAAGCAGTTTCATTCTATAGAGAAATCTTTGCAGAATAAAACCTAACATGAGGGAGAACATGACCAAGAATTGCATGTATTTGATTTCTTGACTTTGTGACAGAGAATATAAAGGAGAAACAAGCCGCCCCTTAAAAGTGAGGCTGGGGGGAACATCAAAAAGCCATAATAATTGTGTATGGTTGACTGTATATAGAAAATTGGCACATTCATACATATAAAAAAATATTTGTGTTTGATGATTTGTACTTAGCTTTTCAATTTAAGATTAGTAAATATACTTTTCACTTAATAATAATAACATCTAAAAGGGACAAATTAATACAGAATTTTAAAAGATTAAAAAATATTTAAAGTTTATTAAAAATTTATTTAAAAGTTATTCTAATTAAAATGTAAAAGAAATGAAAACAAATCTTGTAAAACTTCATTACACATAGAAAACATTTTTTTTCTAAAGACAATAGTATCCTTAATATATCTTAATAAAAGGAAGCATTGTAACTTCAAGGTAAAGTTGTATTGAATAAAACGAAGAATTGTCCAGTTTTATTGTTTAAGAAGAAATCCCAGCATGCATCTGTAGGATCTGTCTATAAATTTTAGGAGGGGGATTTTCTTAGCAGTCATTTCCCAAGATTAGAACCAACATTTCTTTTAAGAGTGTTGGGGTAACTTTACATTTGCTTCTTCAATTAATCGTAATTATAATCTGCTTGACTCATTATGTGACTCTTGATGGCCAGTCAGTTTATCCCAGATATCAACTAGACAGTTTTTTGGGTAGAACATGTGAAGAGAATATGCTTCCTGTATAAGTTCATTAAAACACAACTTCATGCATTATGAGGTTCTGGAATAAGGGCAAATTTTTGTAATACTTGCTAGCTTTCCTTTTCAGGGTTAGAGAGAAAGCATGTAATACATTTCAACACTTCATTCATGTTTTTTTTTTCTATAAGGTCTGCAAGTGGTGTAATGGTTAGTAGCTTAGAAGAAGAAATATTAAAACAATTTGAATCTTCAAAATATAAGAAAGTTGTTCTCTGGAAGATATTTAAGCATGTTCAAAAGTGTGGTCCCATGCCCCTCACTGGATTCTCTGGGACATGTGAATGAGTCTCTTCCTATAGAATATTTTATTTTCTGGTCTCATGCTTTTGCTATGTATTTAGAGATTCTTGATAAAATACAAAGAAGAATCTGCAATGTCATTGGTCCTGATCTGGCATCTCGACTTTCCCATTGCCATAACGTAGTTTTCCTGTGTTCTTTCTATAAATATTTTCATGGTAATTCTTCTGATAAGCTTTCTCTTTGGTACAGAGATTTTATTAATTTAAGTGCAGCACTAGATTGGCAGCTAGGTCTCATCAATTTACAGTTTAAATGGCTAGATATAACAATAAGTTCTATGCTAACAGTTTCTTCTCTTGCACTTCTTACTTGTGCAAATGTCTTCTGGCTTCTTGCTTTCCAGTCAACTTTGATCTTCAAAAATTTAAATGAAATCTCTATCATTATTTTCTGTCCTCTTAATTCCTGTTTTTTTATTGTTCCCTCTCCTTAATAATGTTTTGTTTTTTTCATATTCTCTCTCACACACAGATAACTACTTACATCTTAGTGGCTTTATTGCCTTGCTAGGGGTAAATAAAAAAAAAACCAGAATTTTTTTATTTTAATACTTGGGTACATAAATGTATCTACAGTAGTTACTACAAAGGCTATCAATATAGATTTGGTAAACCCAACATTATGAGTCAACTATTTACGCTTTGTTCAGAATATTGTCCTCATCTTTACTGTCATATTCATGATGTTTCATCTGTTGTACATTCCAGTCTTCTTCAGGTGATACATGTTGGAATTTCAAAGATAACTGAAACTAAGATATCCAGAAAAGGCATGGCATGTGGAACTAGAACAATCTACCCTGTCAAAATTCCAATGTATATCACATGAAGAAGGCCAGAGCATAAACAGCTGAAATGTCATGAATATGATGAGGACAATAGCCTGAACAATGTAAATAGTTACAATACCTCATCTCAGAAATATAGACAGATATTAAAAGTCAAGTTTGAATTCTAGTTGGGTTCATTAGATTACTTATGTTTAATTAACCTTGGGAATGGTATGAATCTATCTCCTCTCACTTGCAAAACCATGGTTATTCTCAAAAAACATTATTATTCTTAAAAAAATCTTGTTATTCTCAAAAAACATTATTCTCAAAAAACGTTATTCTCAAAAATCATTGTTATTCTTAAAAAAGACCTTGCTATTCTCAAAAAACATTATTATTCTTAAAAAAATTGTTATTTTCAAAAAACATTGTTATTCTCAAAAACTTGTTATTCTCAAAAAACATTATTCTCAAAAAACATTGTTATTCTCAAAAAACATTGTTATTCTCAAAAAAACATTTAATCTCAAAAACTTGTTATTCTCAAAAAACATTATTCTCAAAAAACATTGTTATTCTCAAAAAACATTGTTATTCTCAAAAAACATTATTCTCAAAAGTCATTGTTATTCTCAAAAAACATTGTTATTTTCAAAAATCATTATTCCCAAAAAACATTATTCTCAATAATTGTTAATTCAATATTCACTTGCAAAAAAAAAAAAAAAATTATTCTTACATTCCAAAATATGTTTCAGCTTTAAATAACCCACAAAGTGTTGATAAATCATAAAAATACAAATCAATCAATCAGCCAATTGAATGAAAGACATTGGAATGTTGAAGTTTGGTATCAGTAACCAGTCATTCCTTTTACAAAGATTTGCATAGAAATTACATTATAAATCATATTTGGATCTGTTCTTTAGCTATTCCAAGTAAACAGTGTTTCTTTTAACCATAATCTTCTGCGCATATTAATATAAGTTAAATTTAGGGTTACAGTTCACGATCTTTAATTTGGCACTATGCAGTTCAGTAACTCTCATAGTCTGGCACTTTTTTAGATTAGCCACTAGTAGTTCATTGAGTGGCTGTGAGAGCAATACCACATATTGTTTATAACGTTCCACAACATCCAACAACAGCAGGGTGGTTTGGTGACATGGTCTTGCTCATTTCTTATATATAGCTGCATATTTACCCGTTCAGGATAATAAGTATAAATTATTTTTTGATTCTAGTTTTTTTATTAGCTTTTGAAACAATAAAAACTTTGTTTGAAAGCATTAAGGATTGATTTTTTTTAATCATTTCACCACAAGCAAGGTGGGAATGCCACTAGTAAGCAGGGAGTTACAGGGAGTGAAAGTGAGAGAAAAGACTGAGTATAGGGGGGTGTTGAGGAAAGGACAAAAGGTGAATGTGGTTTAAGAAGATAGAAGATGGCGATTGATGTTGCATTTACATTTTTGAAGATTGCATTTATCAGGGAAACAAGTAAACGAAAGGGAGTTCCACAGGTAGGAAGTGTGTGAAAAGAAACTGTTGGAGTAGCCTGTTTTAAACTTTGTTCAACCTTTGTTAGCACAGCAATATACATGTGGAATGAGTTGGCAAAACTATGTTTGCTAAAGTTTTTTATTTAGAGGTAATTTCTATCATCTGGCAGTTAATCTCGTCAGGCAGTGACCTGGTCTGTAGGGTGCTGGATTAAAGTGGTCAGACTATATATTTTTCCAATGACACTGGCACAAAGTTAGATGAGAGTGGCCATATTTGAAACTATATTGTTATCTGTGTTTATTGAAACCATCATACTTTAGATATTTCTTCTTCATACTAACAAGACGAAAAACAGATGCAATGTATTTGCATTCCTACATTTCTAATGAGACATTTTTCTTTTCCTGTTTTGCATTTTATGATTGGTTTAAATGCCAATAGTCTCTTTTTTTCTTTTGTGTCTCTGACAGCAGATAAACAGGTTCCCATTGGCTTAATGCCAAACTCCGAGCATTCAGAAGTTATTCAATGAACAATCTGGATTGTTAATTTTGGCTAACCTTTTCATCATTTTATTGTTACTTCTCATCAGAACTTTCTAGGTCAGATACCCTCTGACCACTTAAGTAGTGTGAAATCAAAATCAATAAGATACAATGGGTTCACACAATAGAACCAATTGGACATTTGTGGTTTTTAAGCCACTTGAATAATTTTCAGTTCAGTTATGGAACTCTATTAATGTTATTTCTATTTAAGTGGAAGATTAAACACAAAACTTACATATTTCTAATAAAAAATTATTTGGGTAGGTCTAAAAAATAGGTTGATATTTATTTCATTCTTTAAGAAAATAAGTGGATAGCAACTCACACCTTTGTACCCACTTAAAATAAGAAATTATTGTTTACGTTTTGGGTATTAAATAGAAACTAACAGATATACATTCATAGAAATCCCAACAAGAGGTGTGCTTTCCTTAAATAAGTTGAAAAAGTTCTGATAATGGCTTCTTGATCTATGCTGCTTATTATTAATTTCATTGTTACTGTTGCAATATCTGGTCTGGTGCCCCTGCTGTATATCTTGTGATTTTTGACAAAATACAAAGCAGTGTCTTTAATGTAATTGATCCTGAACAGGCATCTTGAATTCAATCACTTTCTTTCAACTGCTCTGATGAGCTTTTTTTTTTTCTTGGTGCCTCGACCACATAAATTAAGTAGTGTGAAATCAAAATCAATAAGATACAATTGGTTCACACAATAGAACCAATTGGACATTTGTGGTTTTAAGCCACTTGAATAATTTTCAGTTCAATTATGGAACTCTATTAATGTTATTTCTATTTAAGTGGAAGATTAAACACAAAACTTACATATTTCTAATAAAAAAAATATTTGGTTCGGTCAAAAAAACCTTTTTTGTTTTAAATGATGTTCACAAGGTCCAAGAGCCACTCAAGATAGAGGGTAACAAAGCATTTCTTGGCTGTCACTCTAATTAAAACAGTTGGAATTTAACCTGTAAACATGTCTTGGATAGTTTCTACCTAAGAAAAGTTTTTTTTTTTTTCTCTCTCTCTCTCTCTCTCTCTCTCTCTCTCGCTCTCTCTCTCTCTCTCTCTTGCAATCTTGCTCACTCACTCACACACGCTTTGTGAAAAGAGAGAAGAAAATAGATAGCTTTTTAATACTTGGCACCGTAAACAAACTCTAAATTCCTCAATGCACCTCCTTCCTCATCCCATGGTGAATTCTAAAATAATGTGAATGATACAAAAGAGATTAAAAACTGATGATCAGTTGGTGGCTGCAACTTTTGGCCCATCCACTGACACATTGAGCCATTTGGTATTTTTGCCATGATACACAATTATAATAGAAACCTCTAATTAATCTTCTACCTTCTCTTCCAAGATAGATGTAAATGTGGAATGGATGGGTTAAATAAACTCAATCTGAAATCTGTGAGACTCTAAACATTTTACTAGCATTTCTTGGCCGTTACCCTAACTAAAACAGTTGGAATTTAACCTGTAAACATGTCTTGGATAGTTTCTACCTAAGAAAAGTTTTTTTTTTTTTTTTTCAAGAAGATTGGTTAAAAAAATCTTTTGTGGTAATCAAGACATTACTCTGTTATCTCAAAAATGCTCAAAGCATTCATTTTCTATGCAGAAACTTGCAATTCACATCACACTTTATATCATTTCATAGATTAAAAAATAGGGTCTAAAAAAAAATTTATTATCCATTTTTAACAACTTTAATTAACTCCCTACAACCACCAGTCTAAAAAAAAATTACTTCTAAGCTACATACAAGGCAAGTTCAAAGAACAAATGTAGTCCAAATTTTCTTTATTGGTTTTCTGAATGTCTCTTAAAAATGTGTAAAGGGGATTTGCAACTTTTCAGTTGCCTGAAGTTGCATCTTTAATAGATCCTTTTTCTTTAGTAGGACTTCATGATTTAGGCCGGTTGTTATTAATTTTACTGTTTAAGAAAATAAATTAAGTAGGGATAGCTACTCAAACACATGTACCCACTAAAAAGTAAAGTTTATAGTAATAAGTTGGATAAAAAATCCTTTAAAAAATTATTGTTGTTTACATTTTGGGTATGAAATAGAAACTAAAGAATAAATGTTCTTTGTTACAATGCCTTTTAGTCATGAAGGTTAAAACTGGAGGAACTAAGGAATTTAGTTTGTCTGAACGCTTTTAATAAAAATAGCAATTTCATAAAAATAGCATTTCTTTTGTTGGAAATGGTTACTCTGTTATGCAATTTGGAGCCAAAATTCCTGAAAGAAGCTCAAATTTTGCACTTAACCCATTTAGACTTGGGAAATTTTCAGTTCCAAAAATGGATTCATCACTTCCGAAAAGATAGGAATGGAGGTCTGGGATATGATCAATATTGGATTTAGGACAAACAAGGCCCCTTACTTAGGTTAAGTTATGAGGCCCCTTACTTAGGTTAAGTTATGAGGCCCCTTACTTAGGTTAAGTTATGAGGCCCCTTACTTAGGTTAAGTTATGAGGCCCCTTACTTAGGTTAAGTTATGAGGCCCCTTAGGTCCTGAAGGAGGTAGGCTTGACATGTCTAAACAGGCATGGCAAGAAGATGGGGCCCACTGGCTAATGGGGCCTTGTGCTTAAGCACAATGGTAAATCTGGCACTGGTTATGATTTTCTGATAAATACAAAGAAAGTTATGTGAAAAACTGATATTTGGTGTCAGGCATATAGTGCCAAAAGCACTTAATTATCAAATTAATGTATGAAAGAAAAAGAGTACATTTTTAAATATCTTCCTCAGAACGGTTTTCTGACATTTTTCACATTTATATTGTTTTAATATTTTGGAGCTTACACTAAAATGGAGGGAAAAAATTTGCTTCAGGCTTTTTTTTTTTTTTTTTGGCTAGAAAAAGTTGAAGTTGAAGTTGCGGAATGGAGACAAAAATGCAGGCAAAATATTTGACTGAATTCTGTGTTGTAGCCCTCCACCCCAATCTATTTGGTATAGGGTGTTTTTTTACAGTATTCTTTTACTAACTAACAATCATAGTATTCTTCCTGAGTTTACTATATCTGAAATTTTTTTTGTGAGAACAAGTTGAAGCAGAGGAATGGAGACAAAATGTAGGAAAAATATTTGACTAAATTCTGTGTTGGAGGGACCACAAATCCATTTGGCATAGGTTGCTTTTTAAAAATATTGTCAGGCAAAACCTCCCTCACCCTTATAACACCCATTTCAACAAGATTCCAATGACTTTTCTTCCAAAAAATGGCAGTAAAAGCAACTATCCCACACTGATCAAACTTGTTAAAAGATTAAACATGTGTGAATTTCACTTTAAGCATCCTACTAGATTGGCAGTTAGGTCTCATCATTTTACATTTGAAATGGTTTGATGTAACTGTAAATTCTAACAGTTTATTCTTTTGCACTTCTTCCTTTTGAAACTTGCACCCAGCGTCTTGCTTTCCAGTCAACTTTGTATATACCTCACCACTTTGTATATACCTACGTATGGTTTTTGTCCTTCA